AACGGGCTTTAAAGACTCTGAAGCCCAAACCTTGCATTTCATATGGGTAGTTGTCAAAATTATGGTCCCTTTTTGGGTACCCTAAATATTAGGTGCCGTATTATAATAGGGACCCAAAAAGGGGACCATCATTTTGACAACCACCCATATGCCCAAAGCCCATTCATGAAAGCGAACATCAGCCCTAAACCCTAAGCCCTAGAGAATACGCGGTTTAGGGTTTGGGCTTCAGGGAATACAAAATAGTTTTCTTCTCCGTTCCCCCATATACCCCCAAATATCCACTTTTCGGGTGTTCAGGCTATGCAGAACCCAAAACCCTGAGAATTTACATTGTGAAAAGGCAACAAGCGGCGTAAGCGTTGCTATAGCACCCGCAAACCCTGAACCCTGAAACCCTGAAACCCTGCACCATAAACCCTAAACCCTGAAACAATAAGCTCTGCTACCTTAGACCTTCAAGCACACAGGGCAGCTAACCTTGACAAAGGCGTTCACAATCTCATTTGAGCTCCAGTCTAAACTCCAAATATCTTCCTTAAGAGCCCATAATATACTGGTCCCCTATACAATCCCACACACACATAACCAGCCTTTCAGGAGTTTGATCTAGTGTTCATTTCGGAATTACAGTACCGTACTGCGGGCGCTAGTGTCGCGCAAGTCAAGTGATAAACGGAGTCTTTCCGTGATTTGTCTCGAAATAAAGGCCTTGCAGCTATGCCAACAATCAGCTTGGTGTCCAGGTAATCAGTGCATTTGAAGGACTGTACCTTTGGCTTGCGTCTGGCTACCAATTTGAAGGGGAACTAAGGAGCGGGGCATCATCGTCCTCTTATCAGCTGAAGAAGATGCTTACTGCCCCTATGAGTGCGTCGTTCTCTTCTAAGCAGCCCGTTGAAACGTCGCCGCGCGGGCGGCTTGTCGGCCAGATGGCCTTTCCAGTAGCCCTGCTTCCAGAAGCGGAAGCCCTGACCGGCTACTCTCAGCAAGACTGAGTGCGTCTGGAAGGGAAGGGTTGGGAGCAGGGTGGGTGAGAATGCAACACCAGAATCACCAGAATGGAATCACCAGCAAAACAGTACCAGTAGCGGCAACGGCCAGGTTTGCCAGCACAAGACCAGTGAATGCTGAAGCTTCGACGATGCTATTGTTGATACTAAAAATCCTCCATGACCTTCATATACTGTAGCACCATATTTCCCAAGTTTTAAGGGACCCAGGATCATGCAGGATCTTTAATATCCACCGTATGATGCTGAGGAGGATCTGAACAGCCGCAGGTGAACCCACCTCTGTGTCAGGGTTGCTGTCGCCCATTGGCACGAAGCCATAGACGTTGCCCTGACAGCAGAAGTCATGTCATCACAATGTCCCAGGTCTGTCGTTATAACTGCAGTGCCCGCTCCAAGCATACGCTCTAAGCAACCTTACCGATGTGAAGCTGCTCAGCTAATCTCACCCAATTCCAAGAGCCTGAACCTTCAAGCCTGGCCAGTCCTAATTATCATTATGCAAGTGGCACTAGCTGCAGGCTTTGACCACAGGACGAGTTAATGTATGCTTGTCAAAATGGGCATCGTTTACTAGAGACGCAGCAGAAGGAAACTCGTACTTTTACAAACCCCATGCTGGGCCCTGCCTCCATCCAGCAACAGTCGATAATAGCGGGATTCACATGTTCATATCATAACTGGGGGCAGGACACGCCCCATATGAGCTACAGTCAATATTTCAATATATTTAATGGGCATGGGTTTTATTAGGGAATGTAATTGGGACTATGCTGACTCTGCTAACCTACCAAACGGACCCCTATGCCCACCCATAATGGTCCCTTGGTAACCCTACGCCTAATATTGACAGTAGGTCATATGCTATCTGTGTTATAGTCTAAACTCCTAGTATCCCCCTTAATAACCCCTATAGTAGTACCCTATATAACCCCCCATTAAATCCCATTTGAGGAGTTTAGATTATAGGTCATATGCTATCCCCCTTAATAACCCCTTTAGTAGTCCCCTATATAACCTCTACATAACCCCCCTTCAAGGAGTTTAGACTATAATAACTAATAATAACCCCTATAGTAGTTATATAACCCCCTATTAAATCCCATTTGAGGACTTTAGATTATGGCTTATCTGGGTTTGCTATCCCCAAACCCTAAAACCCTAAACCTAAAACCCTAAACCCTAAACCTAAAACCCTAAACCCTAAACCTAAAACCCTAAACCCTGAACCCTAAAACCAAACCCTAAACCTAAAACCCTAAACCCTAAACCCATCTGGGTTGGCACCAGCACTGGCCTTTAGGTCTACATCCCAGAGCTCCTTCACGTTAGCTCGGACCACCTCGCAACACGCGCGATCTAGGGTTTTAGGGTTTTAGGGTTTTAGGGTTCAGGGTTTAGGGTTTAGGGTTTTAGGTTTAGGGTTTAGGGTTTTAGGGTTTAGGGTTTAGCGTGTAGGGGCGTGGGGCCTGGACAATCGGAAAATGTCCCAAAATCTGAAGCCCCCTCTGGTTCTATACAAAGCACGGCCTGTCAATTGCAAATATTGTAGTTAGGTTGCTTGCAGAAATGAGGTGCTGTTTCTGGCCTAACTCTAGCACAGCCGTCACATCAGTATTATCAATCGCAACAACAACAGGTGCAAAGCAGAATCGCAAGATATCCTGCAAGACAACACAGCGGGGAACTATTTGCTGACCGCAGCGCCTAAGAGTGAAGACTGCGCCTGATCAGCGTCAATGAAGATTATCTTCGGGACGTCTTGAGGGAATAGCACCTCAGCTGCAAAACTCGTTAAAGCTGGCAGCAACAACGTGTGCTTTGCATCTATCAAAAGGAGAAAGTTCACGATTTCTACCTGGCCAAACAAAAATGAACTCTCTGATCACTTGAAGGGACTTGGATCAACCACTGGTCCGAACCAGTGTAACATTCCAGCACATGTTGAATTTCAGGTCACACGTGTGAAAGAGCGAAATGACTGATGTATACTTAAATGAGATTCAAGCAAAGGGGCGACAATCTCTGCGTCGTCAAGTTGGTATCCCTTGTGGGCACTCTCATGAAAGAATGACCAGACCAGTACATGGAGGGCGCCTTCACTGTTTCAGAGGGCGTGCTTTGTTCCATATGCTGCTTGCCAACATGTGTAGAACGCTGCGAAGGCATCTGCATGGAAGGCGCTGCGGCACGGATGCAAGCAAAGAATGCTGTGAATGCATTTGCGCGGATGGAAGCGGGAAGAAAAACTTCCACGTCCAAACGATTCATAGTCGTTGGGAGACCCTTGACCATTGAGAGGCAGAATGGAGATTCACAGCAAGATATCCATCCAAAATGCACAGGAGAGTGGGCGTGTAAGCACATGTTGCGAACGTTCCATCTGGACTCAAATGAGTTGCTGACAGCCTGCCTCCTAAGGGCCCCAAAGACAACCTGGTGTTCAGTTAGGAGTGGGGAGGGATTAAAGAGTGTATGACGGGAGTTTGTAGTCAGCTCCCCGTAATAACACCCTCCACCCATGAATAAAGAATATTGCCCCTTTATAAGACAACAGTACTCTATGGGGGGGAGGTTAGAATAAGGACGAGGTATTACTAGGGGAAGGCGATGATGATGACTACTGGAAGGATACTGTGCCTCAAACTGTACTATGCACCAGGTAAGAGGCTAAGGGTTGGGACTAAGGGCTCAGGGCCTAGGGCTTTGAGCTAAGGATTTGTAGGGCTTAGGGTTTATGGTTTTGGTCAGGTGTTCGGGGTCTGGAGTCTATACAGCCTAGGGGAGTTTTTTAGAAGCTCGGCCGCCCGGCATCCAGGAAAAGAATCTTGTAAGCCCAAATGAGCCGCTGCTTCTCACCTTGGAGGCTTTTGACATGGGGACACTGAGACGGAAAAACCATCGCTAACCCTGAAGCCCTCAAAGCCTGAAGCCTAAAACCCTGAAACGCCTCAAAGCCCTCAACTCCAAGCCCTAGATCCGTAGACCCGTTGGTTGTGAATCCAAGCTGTCCTTACCAAGAACTTAAACAGTCTGCCTGGAGTTGCACGCTCACGACAGACACCATTAGTTTCTGTGTTATGTTTGAACGGCATTTCTGTGGACCGGGGCTTAGTTTGGGATGTCAAGGCTTCTGCTTCTGCTAATGGCGTTAATGCAAGCATCATTTGCCCGCAGTCTCTAAGCTACACCTTTTTTTCCGGCAAACCTATATATGTGAAAAGCATGTAGACCTTTCTTCAGGCCTCGGAAACTTTGCTTTCACTCGGTGCACAGCAAAGTCAGAAGATGTCCGGACTCCCGGACCCCTACAGGGCCAAGAGGTTTCCAGAAATTGGGGGGTCACTTTTCTGGGGGAGGGGGGGGCGGTCCGGAGAGAAGGCCCCTTACACATTGACTACTGCTGACATGTCTTGCCTTCGCTGCATGTGTGCCGAAGCATGGCAAAATCACCAAGAGTCGCACTTTGGGGGTTTAGCCAGGATGGCCACTTGTAAGTGACGAAGTCATACTTGAAGTCGTACCTGCCGCGGTTGATTCCAGAGGCTATCGGGTCTCTCTGGGCATAAACCGGGACCCTACAGAGCATTATGAAAGCCCTTATTAGGTTTTCTTTAGTCCTAGCCTTTGAGAAGCTGCCACACCACAAAGCCGACGAAGGCCTTAGATGAGCTCCCTAGATGAGAGCAAAGGCTTTGCATGCTCAAACTGATCTCACGGCCTCAAAAAAAACTATTGAGGAATAATCTATAAGCCACCATGAAGGTGTGGTCGGATGAGGTCGTCATTTGCTCATTCGAGTCATAGCTGATGTGACCACATCCCAATACCCTAAACCCCAAACCCTTATAGAATCCCTTGTTCAGAAAGTATAGCTCATGTGACCATATCCGAGCCATAATCTAAACTCCTAGGATCCCCCCTAAAAAGCCCCATTACAGCATCCCTAGATAATCCCCTATATCACCCCTTCAGGAGTTTAGAGTATAGCTCATGTAGGGCTATATTATCTCCACTATCCCTATAATCGGGATAGTGGAGAGGAGAGTGGAAGCAACTATTCAGGGTTTAGCGCTCAGGGGTTTTGGGGTCGTGAATAGGAGAAGCCTATGGAAAATGAAAATTGAAATTGAAACCGGGCTTATTCAGGGGAATCATAAGGATTATGCCATCGAGTGGCGTGACCGATTCGCCAATATAATTTCGAGGTGTTATCTGAGGTACCCAATACCATAATCATATGAGCTGTAGTCTAAACTCCTAGTATCCCCCAGAATAACGCCTATGATACTCCCCTATATGGTCCCCTATAGAACCCCCTTTAAGGAGATGGGGCTATAGTACATATGAGGTACCTAGCACCACAATCACGGTCATTCTTCAGGCCGCATGAGGCTCTTGAGCGGCTCTTGAGATGAACATAAGGTTTAGGGTTTAGGGTTTAGGGATTTAGGGTTTAGGAATTTAGGGATTTAGGGTTTTAGGGATTTAGGGTTTAGGGTTTGAGGTTTAGGGATTCGCTTGTTGAAACCCTGAAGTCCAAATCCTGGTCAGCGAAGAAATCTCTCATGCTGATTCAGGCATCCCTCGCCATCCGTATAACTATATATCCCTGTATACGCCCGTATATCTCTACGTATCCTTGCATATCCTTTTCTATCCGTAAACCCTAAATCCCTAAATCCTAAATCCCTAAATCCCTAAATCCCTCAACCCAAAACCCCTAAATCCCTAAATCCCTAAATCCCTAAAACCTAAATCCCTAAACCCTAAACCCTAAATCCCTAAACCCTAAATCCTAAGCCCTATCTTGCGCACCTCGCAGCCATGTGGGGAATGAAGGCCTGCCCAGCATTGCTAGTGGCAGTGCTCAACATGCTTAGGGTTTAGGGTTTA